CTACCAGGCTCATGCTAGGTAGGTTCTAGTCACGTCTAGCAGGCTCATGCTAGGTAGGTTCTAGTCATGTCTACAAGGCTCATGCTAGGTAGGTTCTAGTCATGTCTACCAGGCTCATGCTAGGTAGGTTCTAGTCATGTCTACCAGGCTCATGCTAGGTAGGTTCTAGTCATGTCTACCAGGCTCATGCTAGGTAGGTTCTAGTCACGTCTAGCAGGGTCACGCTAAGCGGGTTCTAATGACCACCACACATTAGCTATCCAATTATTTTAGTAAATACCTGAATATATTGTTAGCATGGTTAGAGGAGGAGGAGCCAGGAAGGTTCTAGGGAGGAAGGAGGAGGAGAGAAGGATCGGAGGAGGGAGGAGGCAGGTGGAAGGTAGGTTCTCGGGAGGGAGGAGGAGGAGGAGGCACGAGGTTCTGGGTAGGAGAGGAGGAGGGCAGGAAGGATTCTGGGTGAGGAGGGAAAAGGAGGAGGAGGCCAGGAAGTCTGGAGGATGGGGAGGAGGAGCTAGGAAGGTTCTGGGGAGGAAGAGGAGGTAGAAGGTTCTGGGGAGGAGGAGGAGGAGCCAGGAAGGTTCTAGGGAGGAGGATGAGGCAGGTAAAGTTCTGGGGAGGAGGGAGGAGGAGGGCAGAAAGGTTTGTGGGGAGGAGGGAGGAGAGGCAGGAAGGTTCTGGGGAGGAGGATGAGGAGGGGAGGAGGCGGGAAGGTTCTGGGGAGGAGGGGGGAGGAAGGCAGGAAGGTTCTGGGGAGGAGGAGGAGGCAGGAAGGTTCTGGGAGAGGGAGGAGGAGGAGGAGGCAGGAAAGTTTCTTGGGAGGGGAGGAGGCAGGAAAGTTCTGGGGGGAATGAGGAGGGGGACAGGATGGCTCTGGGGAGGGGAGGAGGGCAGGAAGGTTCTGGGGAGGAGGAGGGAAGCAGGAAGGTTCTGGGGAGGAGTGAGACAGGAAGGTTCTGGGGAGGAGAGAAGGCAGGGAAGGTTCTGGGAGGAGGAGGAGGATGAGGAGGAGGAGGCAGGAAGGTTCTAGGGAGGGAAGGAGGAAGGAAGGTTCTGAGGAGAGGTGGAGGAGGGGATGCAGGTAGGTTCTGGGGAGGAGGAGGAGAGAGGAAGGTCTGGGGAGGGGAGGAGGCAGGAGGTTCTGGGGAGGAGGAGGGAGGAAAGAAGGTTCTTTGGTAGGGGGGGGAGGAGGAGGCAGGAAGGTTCTGGAAGAGGAGAGGAGGAGGAGAGGAGATAGGCTAGGAATGGTTTAGGGAGGAGAGGAGTGGCAGGAAGGTTCTGAGGAGGAGGAGGAGGGAGGAGCAGGAGGTTCTGGGGGAGGAGGAGGAGGAGGCAGGAAGGTTCTGGAGAGGGAGGAGAAGGAGGCAGGAAGGTTCTGGGAGGAGGAGCAGAAGGAAGGTTCTGGGGAGGAGGAGGAGGCAGAGAAGGTTCTGGGAGGAGGAGGGGGAGCAGGAAGGTTCTGGGGAGGAGGAGGAAGGAAGGTTCTGGGGACTAGGGGAGGAGGAAGGAGGCAGGAAGGTTCTGGGGAGGAGGAGGAAGGAAGGTTCTGGCAGAAAGGGGAGGAGGAGGAGGCAGGAAGGTTATGGGGACGAGAAGGAGGAAGGAAGGTTCTGGGGAAGAGGAGGAGAAGGCTGGAAGGTTCTGGGGAGGAGGAGGGAAGGAAGGTTATGGGGAGAAGGAGGAGGAGGAAGCACTAAGGTTCTGGGGAGGAGGAGGAGGAGGCAGGAAGGTTCTGGGGAGGAGGAGAGAAGGGGGAAGGTTCTGGGGAGGAGGAGGAGGAAGCAGGAAGGTTTATGGGGAGGAGGAGGAGGAGAGTTGGCAGGAAAGGTTCTGAGGGGAAAGAGGAGGAGGCAGGAAGGTTCTGGGGAGAAAGGAGGAGGAGGCAGGAAGGTTCTGGGGAGGGAGGAGGAGCAGGAAGGCTATGGGGAGGAGGATGGAGGAGGAGGAGGAGGAAGGTTCTGAGGGGAGGAGGAAGGAGCAGGCAGGAAGGTTCTGGGGAGGAGGAGGAGGCAGGAAGTTCTGGGGAGGAGTGGAGGAGAGGAGGCAGGAAGGTTCTGGGGAGGAGTAGGAGGCTGGAAGGTTCTGGGGAGGAGGAGGGAGGAGAAGGCAGGAAGGTTCTTGGGAGGGAGGAGGAGGCAGGAGGTTCTGGGGAGGAGTAGGAGGCAGGAAGGTTCTGGGGAGGAGGAGGAGGAGGCAGGAAGCTTCTGGGGAGGAGGAGGAGGCAGGAAGGTTCTGGGGAGGAGGAGGAAGCAGGAAAGTTCTGAGGAGGAGGAGGAGGAGGAGGAGGAGGCAGGAAGGTTCTGGGGAGTAGGAGGAGGAGGCAGGAAGGTTCTGGGGAGGAGGAGGAGGAGGAGGTAGGAGGAGGAGAGGAAGATTTGGGAGTACGGAGAAGGAGAGCAGGAAGGTTTGGGGAGGAGGAGGAGGAGGCAGGAAGGTTCTGGGGAGGAGGAGGGGGAGGCAGGAAGGTTCTGGGAGGAGGAGGAGGAGGAGGTATGGGGAGGAGGAGGGGACACGTTCTGGGGAGGAGGAGGAGGATGCAGGAAGGTTCTGGGGAGGAGGAGGAGGCAGGAAGGTTCTGGGGAGGAGGAGGAAGCAGGAAGGTTCTGGGGAGGAGGAGGAGGCAGGAAGGTTCTGGGGAGGAGGAGGGGGAGGCAGGAAGGTTCTGGGGAGGAGGAGGAGGAGGAGGAGGAGGAGGAGGCAGGAAGGTTCTAGGGAGGAGGAGGAGGCAGGAAGTTTCTCGGGTGGAGGAGGAGGCAGGAAGGTTCTGGGGAGGAAGAGGATGGAGGCAGGAAGGTTCTGAGGAGGAGGAGGAGGAGGCAGGAAGGTTCTGGGGAGGAGGAGGAGGCAGGAAGGTTCTGGGGAGGAGGAGGAGGAGGAGGCAGGAGGCAGGAAGGTTCTCGGGAGGAGGAGGAGGAGGAGGAGGCAAGAGGCAGGAGGCAGGAAGGTTCTGAGGAGGAGGAGGAGGCAGGAGGCAGGAAGGTTCTGGGGAGGAGGAGGAGGAGGAGGAGGAGGCAGGAAGGTTCTGGGGAGGAGAGGAGGAGGAGGAGGCAGGAGGCAGGAGGCAGGAAGGTTCTGGGGAGGAGGAGGAGGAGGCAGGAAGGTTCTGGGGAGGAGGAGGAGGAGGAGGCAGGAGGCAGGAGGCAGGAAGGTTCTGGGGAGGAGGAGGAGGCAGGAGGCAGGAGGCAGGAAGGTTCTGGGGAGGAGGAGGAGGCAGGAGGCAGGAGGCAGGAGGCAGGAGGCAGGAAGGTTCTGGGGAGGAGGAGGAGGAGGAGGCAGGAGGCAGGAGGCAGGAAGGTTCTGGGGAGGAGGAGGAGGAGGAGGCAGGAGGCAGGAGGCGAGGCAGGAGGTTCTGAGGAGGAGGAGGAGGAGGAGGCAGAGGCAGGAGGCAGGAAGGTTCTGGGGAGGAGGAGGAGGCAGGAGGCAGGAGGCAGGAAGGTTCTGGGGGGAGGAGGAGAGGAGGAGGCAGGAGGCAGGAGGCAGGAAGGTTCTGGGGAGGAGGAGGAGGAGGCAGGAGGCAGGAGGCAGGAAGGTTCTGGGGAGGAGGCAGGAGGCAGGAAGGTTCTGGGGAGGAGGAGGAGGAGGAGGCAGGAGGCAGGAGGCAGGAAGGTTCTGGGGAGGAGGAGGAGGAGGAGGCAGGAGGCAGGAGGCAGGAAGGTTCTGGGGAGGAGGAGGAGGAGGCAGGAGGCAGGAGGCAGGAAGGTTCTGGGGAGGAGGCAGGAGGCAGGAAGGTTCTGGGGTGGAGGAGGAGGAGGAGGCAGGAGGCAGGAGGCAGGAAGGTTCTGGGCAGGAGGCAGGAGGCAGGAAGGTTCTGGGGAGGAGGAGGAGGAGGAGGCAGGAGGCAGGAGGCAGGAAGGTTCTGGGGAGGAGGAGGAGGCAGGAAGGTTCTGGGGAGGAGACAAAATTCACCGAACAATGGCTGGAGAAGACGGAGTGTGACAGCGTCGATTCTTCCAACCTTCACTATTATCCTCGCCTCTCCCCGCCTCGCCCTACCCAAGGAGAGAATATCACCAGAAACTCCCCCTCTCTCTCTACCCGCCCCTTACCCGCCCACTACCCGCCCCCTACCCGCCCACTACGCGCCCACTACCCGCCCATCGTCCACCCACAGGCCGCCTCCTCAGTGTACTGAATACTGAAGTATAAATTTTGGTCACTCATTCTGATGTTGCAATTTTTTGGGGTCAAACTTTTGACGAACTGAAGATGTGACGGTTGTGTGACCTGGATTCTCTGTCTTTTTCTCACGGTGTGACCTGCATACTTTCTCTCTCTTTAGTGTGTGACCTGGATGCTTGTTACCTCTAGTTTGTGACCTGGATACTTGTTACCTCTAGTGTGTGACCTGGATACTTGTTACCTCTAGTGTGTGACCTGGATACTTGTTACCTCTAGTGTGTGACCTGGATACTTGTTACCTCTAGTGTGTGACCTGGATACTTGTTACCTCTAGTGTGTGACCTGGATACTCTCTCCTTGTATTAATAATAATAATGATTATAAAAGCAACAATACTACTACTACTAATGATGATAGAGGAAATCTAAGGTATAATATCCCAAGAACGTTGCCAATCAGGTCTGTTTACTGCTAGGTGAACAGGGGCGCTAAGTGTCTCTATTTACCAGACATTGAACCCGGGTCCTTTGTTTGTGAGCTGAAGGTGCTAAAACCGGGCTGTCTGATATATGAGCTGAAAAAGAATAGACAGGAGAGGGAGAGAGAGAGAGAGAGAGAGAGAGAGAATGACAAAGGCAGAGGCAGAGTAAGGGAGAGAAATTTGTGACTGTGTAGGTGACAGTAAGTTCTGATTGTCTTGGAGACTGTAAGTTCTGATAGTGTGTGGGCACATCTGCTCAACTTCCCTCCTCTGCTAACTGACTCTGACGAGTTTTTTCTCCTGTGTCCCAAAAAGTTGCCAAGAATGATATAGTGTTTATGGGAGTGATATACTCATAAAGCCACAGTAAATATTGAATTTTATACTTCCAGAGCAGCGTAGATCCACGCACAACTTACCACAGTTTCTTGCAAGCTCTAAAAGCACTGCTTCCGGAACTTACCTAAAAATCGTTTGACGACGCTGGTCTGCGGAGAGGTGTTGTCCCACGGATACGCCAGGTTCATGTCGTCCTCCATGGGATCGTCCTGAAGAGCGTCGTTCTGTGGAATATCGTCCTGGCTTAGGTCGCTGTAGATTATATCGTCTTCACGTTTGTAATTGCGATGCATATTCAAGTAACCATTTCTGGCGAGAGACTGAATGTTCCTCTTGCCCTTTGGAAGACCCTCGTCACCGTCTCCGTTAGCGTCCTCGCCAGGAGACGGAGACTTTCTTATACTGTCAAGTAGGGCGACAATTTTACTGTTTCCTTTAGCCACGTTCTGTCTCTGGCGCTTCCTTAAGAGACCTTTTTTGATTTCGAGTCTGATGAGGCGCTTGAGGTAGGCCACGTTGTCCTCTGGTGTGTTAGGGGCATCCCGGCGGTTTTGTCTCGACCTGGAGTATGGGTGAGGCATGTTGTTACTCTTGGCCAAGGCTCCGATATACCGCTTCCGTCTAGGGTGACCCTGGGCTTCATTATCGATCACCGAGTCGTCCAGGATGGAGTCGAGGTGCCGCTTTCCTGCCGCTAAACTAGACTGTCTGTTCTGCAGTAGCGAGCCAATGTGGCGTTTATCAGGCGTCAAGTTTGTCTGTTTATTCTGTAGGAGAGAACCAAGATGGCGCTTGTCAGCAGACAGGGAGCTTGATGTGAAACTGTCATGTCTCTGCTGCATCAGCGAACCGATGTGACGCTTGTCTTCAGCCAGGCTTGAGTCTCTGCCTTTGAGTAATGACGAGAAGTGACGCTTGTCCGCTGGTTGGTCTTCTAGGGCAAAATTTGACTGTCTGCTCTTTAAGAGTGATGCAAAGTAGCGCTTGCCTGTTGACTGATAATATGGTCTGAAGCTTGACTGTCTGTTCTTCAAGAGTGACGCGAAGTAACGCTTGTATGCTGATGGATATGTTCCAAAGTTTGACTGTCTGTTCTTCAAGAGTGACGCGAAGTAACGCTTGTTTGCTGAAGGATCTGATCCGAAGCTTGACTGTCTGTTCTTCAAGAGTGACGCGAAGTAACGCTTGTCTGCCGAAGGAGCTGATCCAAAGCTTGAGTGTCTGCTTTTCAAAAGTGACGCGAAGTACCTTTTATCTACACTGAAGGAGGCATCAGCTGGGACATCATTCAACATCGAAGTGAATTCTCGCTGCTGGGGACCCTCACCGCCGCCTGTGAGATGGACGTTAGAGAAGCCAAAATCTTGACCGTTGTTGAGGCCCTCGTCAAGTGAGTCCATCGGAGGCTCCTGTGACTTCTTCAGCAGTGATGCGTAGTACCTCTTGTCGATGTCATCTTCTTCCAAAGGATCGACGTCATCTTTGTGCTTCATTAAGGAAGAAATATGTTTACTGTCTTGGGCCTGAGGGTCGTGGTTTTCCGCACGGTCCTTCAGGAGCGACCACAGGTACCTCTCCTCCAGGTCAGGGTCCTTCGATGACGACTTACTGGATACATCCTCTGATTTTTTATTTAAAAGAGATGCAATGTGCCGTTTTTCTTCGCCAAATATGTTTTGTGAGCCGTCGTTTCTCCTTGGTTTGTAAAGTGATCCTATGTGTCGTTTTCCTTCCTCAAAGGTATCCAAAGAATTGTCGTTTCTTCTTGGTTTATAAAGTGATCCTATGTGTCGTTTTTCTTCCTCAAAGGTATCCAAAGAATTGTCGTTTCTTCTTGGTTTATAAAGTGATCCTATGTGTCGTTTTTCTTCCTCAAAGGTATCCAAAGAATTGTCGTTTCTTCTTGGTTTATAAAGTGATCCTATGTGTCGTTTTTCTTCCTCAAAGGTATCCAGAGAATTGTCGTTTCTTCTTGGTTTGTAAAGTGACCCTATGTGTCGTTTTTCTTCTCGAAGGTATCCAAAGAATTGTCGTTTCTTCTTGGTTTGTAAAGTGACCCTATGTGTCGTTTTTCTTCCTCGAAGGTATCCAAAGAATTGTCGTTTCTTCTTGGTTTGTAAAGTGACCCTATGTGTCGTTTTTCTTCCTCAAAGGTATCCAAAGAATTGTCGTTTCTTCTTGGTTTGTAAAGTGACCCTATGTGTCGTTTTTCTTCCTCGAAGGTATCCAAAGAATTGTCGTTTCTTCTTGGTTTGTAAAGTGACCCTATGTGTCGTTTTTCTTCCTCAAAGGTATCCAAGAATTGTCGTTTCTTCTTGGTTTGTAAAGTGACCTATGTGTCGTTTTTTCTTCCTCAAAGGTATCCAAAGAATTGTCGTTTCTTCTTGGTTTGTAAAGTGACCCTATGTGTCGTTTTTCTTCCTCAAAGGTATCCAAAGAATTGTCGTTTCTTCTTGGTTTGTAAAGTGATCCTATGTGTCGTTTTTCTTCCTCAAAGGTATCCAAAGAATTGTCGTTTCTTCTTGGTTTATAAAGTGATCCTATGTGTCGTTTTTCTTCATCAAATGTGTCTTGTGAACCGTCGTTTCTTCTTGGTTTATAAAGTGATCCTATGTGTCGTTTCTCTTCCTCAAAAGTATCCAAAGAATTGTCGTTTCTTCTTGGTTTGTAAAGAGACGATAAATGTCGTTTTTCTTTGTCAAAAGTATCCAAAGAGTCGTCGCTTCTTCTAGGTTTATGAAGTGAGCCTATATGTCGTTTTTCCTCATCCAAGGTATTTACAGAGCTGTCGCTTCTTCTGGGTTTGTAAAGTGAAGCCAAATGTCGTTTTTCCTCTTCAAATTCATTTACAGAATTGTCGTTTCTTCTTGGTTTATAAAGAGATCCCAGATGTCGTTTCTCTTCCTCGAATTCATCAAGAGATTCGTCGTTTCGTCTTTGTTTATATAGAGATCCCAGATGTCGTTTTTCCTCCTCAAATTCATCCAGAGAATTGTCGTTTCGTCTTGGTTTATAAAGAGAAGCCAAGTGTCGTTTCTCTTCTTCAAATTCCTCAAGAGATTCGTCGTTTCTCCTTGGTTTGTAAAGTGAAGCTAGGTGTCGTTTTTCTTCGATAAAATTATTCAAAAATTCGTCGTTTCTTCTCGGCTTGTAAAGAGATGCTAGATGTCGTTTCTCTTCGTCAAAATCATCCAGGAAATTATCGCTTCTTCTGGGTTTGTAGAGGGAAGCCAAGTGTCGTTTTTCCTCTTCAAATTCATCAAAAGAATCGTCGTTTCTTCTGGGTTTGTAAAGGGATCCCAGATGTCGTTTCTCCTCTTCAAATTCATCATGAGAATCGTCGTTTCTTCTTGGTTTGTAGAGGGAAGCCAAATGTCTTTTTTCTTCTTCAAATTCATCAAAAGAATCGTCGTTTTTTCTGGGTTTGTAAAGGGAAGCCAAATGTCGTTTTTCCTCTTCAAATTCATCAAGGGAATTGTCGCTTCTTCTTGGTTTGTAAAGAGAAGCCAAGTGTCGTTTTTCTTCTTCAAATTCATCAAAAGAATCGTCGTTTCTTCTGGGTTTGTAAAGGGAAGCCAAATGTCGTTTTTCCTCTTCAAATTCATCAAGGGAATTGTCGCTTCTTCTTGGTTTGTAAAGAGAAGCCAAGTGTCGTTTTTCTTCTTCAAATTCATCAAAAGAATCGTCGTTTCTTCTGGGTTTGTAAAGGGAAGCCAAATGTCGTTTTTCCTCTTCAAATTCATCAAGGGAATTGTCGCTTCTTCTTGGTTTGTAAAGAGAAGCCAAGTGTCGTTTTTCTTCTTCAAATTCATCAAAAGAATCGTCGTTTCTTCTGGGTTTGTAAAGGGAAGCCAAATGTCGTTTTTCCTCTTCAAATTCATCAAGGGAATTGTCGCTTCTTCTTGGTTTGTAAAGAGAAGCCAAATGTCGTTTTTCCTCTTCAAATTCATCAAAAGAATCGTCGTTTCTTCTTGGTTTATAAAGAGAAGACAAGTGTCGTTTTTCTTCTTCAAATTCATCAAAAGAATCGTCGTTTCTTCTTGGTTTATAAAGAGAAGACAGGTGTCGTTTTTCTTCTTCAAATTCATCAAAAGAATCGTCGTTTCTTCTTGGTTTATAAAGAGAAGACAAGTGTCTTTTTTCTTCTTCAAATTCATCAAAAGAATCGTCGTTTCTTCTTGGTTTATAAAGAGAAGACAAATGTCGTTTTTCCTCCTCTAACTCATCCATCGAAATGTCGTTTCTTCTTGGTTTATAAAGTGAAGCTAGATGTCGTTTTTCTTCATCAAACGCAGCCAGAGAATCATCGCTTCTCCTGGGCTTGAAGAGCGAGGCCAAATGTCGTTTATCCTCAAGAAACGACTCGGTAGATTCTTCAGACTTCTTATTCAGGAGCGAGGCGACATGTCGCTTCTCCAGAGAGTTTGTCTCTTTCTTAAGGAGAGACGCAAGGTAGCGCTTCTCCGTTCCCAGATCATCTTGGAAGCTACCTGCGTCTTGGTTCTCGAGTAGCGAGGAGTAGCGCCTCTTCTCCAGGTCCTGTGGGTCTACAGCGGATGATCTGGGCAGATTTTGCAGTAGGGAACCATAGAACCTCTTCTGGGTCTCTCCCTCGGCAGGTCTGTTGAAGTAAGGACTTTTGAGGAGGGACGCGAAGTACCGCTTGTTGGAAAGGAAGGGCATTGATTCGCCCATGTCCTGGCTGCTGATGAGGTTGAGGTGAGCTGTGTGGGGTGGTGAGCTGGATTTGAGAAGAGAAGCGTAAAACCGCTTGTCAAAATTGTTGCTGTCTGTGTATGAGTCGAGAGTTGAGGCGTAATAGCGCTTCTCCAAGCTGTTGTCTATGAAAGACGGCGGGTTATTCTTCAGCAAGGAGCCCAGAAAACGCTTCTCCTGGAGGCTGTGCTTGGGAAAGTTGTTCTCTCTTGCAATGCTTGATAAATGGCGCTTATCCAGGTCAGGTGATGGAGACACGCTAATGTTGTGACTGCTGGTGTCTCCAGAATATGACTTCATGTTGTTGATGGCATGGGCTTCGTTACTGATCTTGGCAGGTACTACGACAGGCAGTTTATCGTCGTTATTATGGGCGTCATCTTCCATATCCTTCTTGGTTCTAGCTTCTGGTAATTTACCATCACGGGCGAGGCTTGCGATGCTCCGCTTATCTGGCAGTTTAGCCTCCGTGGTGGCAGAGACGTCAGTGGGAAGGACAGTTGAGGATTCCGACTTTTTCACGTTCTTGGGCATGTTGTTAGCTGCTGCCAGGGCTGCCAGGTTCCTCTTGCCGATGGGCAGGTCACTGTGGGTGCTCTGAATGGACGGCAGAAGTCTGCTCTTTTGTCGCAGTTTGGCCTTCTGCAGTAGCTTCATCATGTGGTCGCGGTCCTGCGGCAGGTTGCCGGTGGAGAAGCCAAAACCAGGGAAGGTGAGACCTCCTCGCGTCTCCATATCCAGGAACCTCTTCTCCCTGCCTTCCCTGACGCCATTTTCTGAGACCACTACGTCAGTGCTAGACGTCTCACCGGGTGATGACAGTCCCACCAGCAACAGTTCTCTGCAACAACAAAATAATACCACTTACTACACTGTTGTTAACCTTCATTAACAATAAATATTCTATATTAAGAAACTTTTACACCATTTAAAAAAAAAAAACAACAACAGAAATCTCA